CATAACAGAACAAATTTACAACATGTTAAACTTGGTTAATTTTTAAGTGTAGACTTGTGTGTATATAATAAGAAGTCACCACCGACCTTTTTGCAGCAAAGTACACTTCTGCGTTGAAAATAATCCCTTAAAATAGTGTTCACTCAAGCCAGACAAAATACAAATATTAATCTTCAGAGTTCTATCATTACTAGCGTGTTGATATGATCGGTCAAGTCAGACCGAACTGTGAATTTTTTTTTGGTTTCGAGAAAAATTGTTGGCTGTTCAATATTGTGTCTTATGTAATGGGACAAATCATTTGACCGTTTTCTCTTGCTACTCTAATTTTTCAAATCTGGCTGAAAAAGTGAAATATAGCTGAGGGAATTCTTGATCTTATGATATCATTAACTCATTGTTTGTTTTTATTGTGCTACTTAGTCGCTTCTGACTTAACGCCGACTATATGATCTTGTATAGTAAAATGTAGAGTCGGTGTATAATGAGTCACGCCAAGAGAAAAACAGTTGAACTCGCATCACGGTTTTCGAAAGATTCCCTTTCTTTTCACTTGGCAACAGAGGACTTCTGCATCAACTTCAAATGACTTCTAGCGAGGAAAAAAGTAACGGCTGTAGTAAATCATTAAATTAGTGATTTTGTCAATTTATCTTAACGAAAAATAGTAGAAATTCTCACTAATGACCATTACAAAACGTATCGCATGACAAATGTAATGCTCACTGCGTGTTTATAATAATTTGTTCGATTATATTTTATGTTTAATTGCAATACCTTTCGTGGACCTTTCATAGCATCGTAATGCTTGTTTACTTTGCACGATAGGTAGCCGGTTTGACAGTTCAATAGGTAGACTTGGCTTCACTCTTGGCGTGACTCATTATACACCGACTCTAGTAAAATGTAGTGCTATTTGACATTTAAAAAAAAAAACATTTATATTTTTACTGGTCTGAGTATTCTGAGGGATTCTGAGTCTAATTTGGTGCAAATGCGCAATAACTTGTTTATTTTTCCACCAAATGGGCTGAAAGCTTCAGAGGCTTCAAAAAAAATGTATTTTAGAAGATTTCCGCATAAGGACTTGTTGAAGGACACATAGTTCCACAGATATTCCGGTATTATTTGGGGTGCTAACATGCTAACGGTATCCCAACCAGGGATGGGAAATCATTTTCATTCATTTCGTGCATTCATTTACATTCATTTGCCTCTAACTTTTTTCATCAACAGAATTCCGTAAAATAGTGTTTGAAGCTTTTGTAGGCTTTGATATTAGCGATATCTCTAATGCATGATGAATCAGAGTGATAAGAACCCACCATTGTTTTTCATTGAATGTAAATTGCATTCACTGAAAAACAATAACATGTTCTGTCAGCTCTAGTTCGTCATGCATAAGAGATTCAGATTTTAATTATTGACAAAAGTTGTAGTTAATATCAAAAGCTACAAAAGCTTCATACATCATTTTACGGTATTCTGCTGATGGAAAAGGTTACAGACAAATGAATGTAAATGAATGCACGAAATGAATGTAAATGATTTTCCATCCCTGATCTCAACTACCGTAAGGTTGCCAGCCACCGCTCAAGTAGTCTTCCTTTACCTTCCTTTAGCATCCTTTCGACAAGCAATTGCGTCTTCCTAGGATCATGAGTGGTGATCTTACGGTTATTCCAGTATATCTCTGGAACCATGTGTTGAGTCTGCTTGAATCTATACTAGAAGATATTTCTGGAACCATTTAAAAACTTAACCCCATTTGAAAACGGCACACAAGTCTTCTGTGAACAAACGCTTCCAATCCCTTCTCTCGTCACCCGACAACATCACATATGATGGGACCGCGAGAGTCAAGGCATGCGATACAGCGCACGGCGATGGCGCCCTGAGAGAGCACATAGAGATGTTGCAATGAAACAGTCGCATGTGATTGAATACATGCGTCGCATTGAGAGAGCAATGCGATGAGACAAAAAAAATTGAAACGCTTGAATTTGTTGAGAGCGTGTAGCTTGTCGCGCGCATCGTTCTGGTCTCTCTTTTGTACAATTAATGTAGCACACCATGGATTTGAGAGTCATGCGACGCTCTGTCTCACAGCTCGCTGTCGCATTTGTGTACGCGTGAGATTTCCGGAAGCTTGCTTAGAACTTTTAAGATTCACTGTGGATTAATCTTCAGTAAGAAATAAATTTAAACAAATAATTTTTTTTTTTGTTTCTGAAGACCACTGTCTTGCTGTAACGTTTTCGAAATTTTTCTAAATTTATGGAACTTTTGTGCTCCCGAAATTTTCATGGAATTAGAACGAAATAATTAATATATTTCTATGATTTTCACTGAAGTTCTCAAGCTTTTTCTGAAGTTCATAAAACTTCCCTTAAATTATCGGCACTAATTTAAAACTTCTTCAATAGTCTAGACTTTCTTGGTGTCAACTTTACTGAAATAAATTAATGTGCCTTGTAGTTTCGACAATGGTCCTTTAGTATTATAACCATTATTAACACTCGCTTTTCCCTGAACTTATCGACGCTTACCTGAAGTTCTCTAAATTTGTTTAATAATCCAGCAAATTTTCTGATACATATTCATAATTCCCTGACGCTTCTAACGTTTTAGGATCAATCATAGAATTCTTGGAATGCCCTATAATTCCACGGAACTCCTTGTAAGTTGTTGCAAATTTGCTGAAGTTAATGGGATTATTCTGAAGCTATCTGATCATCCTCGAAGTACTCGGAACTTCGCTGAATATCATTTAACTATCTAGAAATATCTAAATTTAGTTCTCTGGAATTTCTAGTATATTTTTTTTTCCTTTATTATCGAGACTTTCAGACTTCTACATTTCTAGAATATATCACTGCTTGCTAAAAGTTCTCGCTTTTTTATTAGTGGAACTTCGTTTATGTTCTCTAACCAACTAAGCTAAAGTTTCACATTTTTTAAGTTCTTGAAATCTCCATGATATAACACCCTATTCTCACGTTTTCCGGATGTTCATAAAATTTCCAGGAATTCTCTCGGAGCCTTGCTGAAGTTTTCGGAAATTCACTGAGCTTCTCGAAACTTTTTTAAGGTTTCTAATATTTCCTTGAAATTATTTGAACGGCCCTTTGATTCTCTGATCTGTCTTGATGTTCTCGAAGCTTGAATTTGTACATGGAATACGAAACTTCAAGACATTGAATATTTTTGGACTTTGGCCATACTTACTTGGAAAACTGAGGTAATTTTATCCAGAAAAATGAATAGACATCCATACATAGAGAAAGACGATTAAACGTCACAACGTAAAGAATAATCAATCTTGAAATAAATTTACGCTAAAAAAGTTGAAAATAGTTACTTATTACAAGAAAAGGTGAATTTAGTAACTTGGCCTTAAAAAAGGAGACATTTTAGTTACTGACTTGAACAAAGTGACCAAGTCAAAAAAAAAGAAACTCGCTACCAGCCCTGCCTCTGAACAACAGCACTATTTTCCAACCATCGGTGACCGCAAAACTTTAACGGGAATATGGTAGATCCAGAATACATCGTTATAAACGCACTGGTACATCTTTGAAGATATTGTAGATACCACGCAAATATTGGACAACATCCCAACTGATACTGCGAACACTATCCTTGAATGCATTATGCAAAATAAACAACCCACAGCTTCTCAGATCTATCAGCTTCTCGCCACCTTTTTTTACCTCTAGCAGCAACTGGCAAGGGCGTCCATAAACGCAGCGAGTAGATCTGATGCCCGGGATCTTCCCAAAAACATTGACGTCATGCATTGATAAAATTTCAAAGATTGTTTTTATGAGTTCCACACATGATTTTTTGCAATGTGATCAACATAATTTTTTTCCCTGACCTACACTAAAATTCCCTGACATTCCCTGCCTTTCCAGATCATAAATAGAATTCCCTGACATTCCAGGTTTTTCTAGGTAGTCGACACCCTGGAGATGTAACATGATAATTCGATCTGCTTGCTAGCATGGGACCGCATGGTGCGATACAGAATGGTTGCAATTGGTTTAAGGTTCTGAGAAGTTACATGATTTACAAATCTAGTAAAAGTGGCTCGTGAGACGCGCTTGAAATTTATGCTTGTTTTGAGAAAGGAATTCCTAGAATGAGTATTGTCTCCTTACGTTTCACCTGGAGTCCGGAGTTCCTCAGAACTAATTTGAAATGATTCCACAGGTTTCACTTTCCTAAAAATTCATCTTATGATATTTTCCTCTGAAATCATTGAAATTATTCTTATGAAATTAATGGTAATTCTCATCAAATTATTCATTATATCTTATAATCTCTGAAATTTTTGCAAGGCCCTTAATTTATATGAAATCAGGGTTCTTGGAATTTATTCTTTGTCCGCACAGTCTTGTATATTTATTTTTATTCCAGATTCTTGAAAATTTCTCCAATCATTCATTCCGTTAAACGTCGGTCTCTGTTCTGCAATCTAGTGCCAATCACCGACGGACATCGATTGCTATCCATTTTCGGCAATCGAATGTGCAGGAAGGCAGCTTCCACACCTACGTAGGATATCGCACCCATTCACACAACACACATGGGCCGTGACCAACGGCTTTACTTCCCTTCCGAAGGAAGATGTGACCAGAGAGTTTTATGCCTCAGAAAAATCACACTTACCACTACACCACCGGCCCTGGCTTTCGGGAGGGAAGACGAAGGGCTTTTTTTCTCGATGATTGCTAATTGGCGGCTTTTCCAGGTTTTCCCGATTCCCTGGTTTACTGGTCACTGAATTATGCTTAATGCCTTGTTCCCACTACTTGAAGCCCTTGTAACAACTTCGTAGATCCATGCTAATAACAAACCCTTCCTAAATCCTAAACGTTCGTCTTAAACTTAGTTAAAGCAATATTATTCTTCATTTGATTTGTCTGGTCAGACCTGCAAGGCGCTCTCCTAACCTATTGGAAGTTTCGGACCACCGTAGACACAAAGCCGCAGACTCAGGATAGGAACAGCTTATCCAATAGGGTTTTATTACTCCAGTTAGCTTCGCTCATTCACTTACATACACGAGAAAATAATAATCGATAAAATTGTACAAACCGGCTAAACTAGGCGGCTGTTAATCCGTTTACTTCTTGCTCTTCTTATCCTTCTTCTCTTTCTTGTCGGCACCGGGAGCGTTGCTCTCCTGTTCCGCGCTATCCTTGGCCTTCTTGGCACGGGCACCGAAGTGACGGGCGTGCAGACGAGCCTGGCGCACGGCGAGGAAGGCAGAGAACTTCTTCTCCTTCTCAGTGATCGGGCGGAACTCGACCGCTGGCTTCTCGTTGACGATCGGCAGCACTGGGCCGCGCAGCTGGGTGGCCAACTTGCGTTCCTCCTCGGTGGCTTCACCCTTGCGCAGCTTCTTCTTCTCATGGATTGGGAACAGAATCAGCTTGCTACGGTATTCCTTCAGCCGCTGGATGTTCTGCTGGCGGCTTTCGACGGACTTGTTCTGACGGCGGGGATCGACGGCAATACCGACGGTCTGGGCGAATCCCTTGGTCAGACCAGCTCCCTACGAAGAAAGAGAATAGGAAAATGTTAGACTTGGACAATACAAAAACAATCACAAAATAATACCAACCTTCAGTTCAGCGAGAGTGAAACCACGTCCGGCACGGATCTTGGTGTTGTAGCGTTGAGATGGGCAACGTACAACCGGGCGCAGAGGTCCGGTAGCTGGACGCGGGAACACGGCCTTGGCTTTCTTGATACGGTTCTGACGTCTGCGGTCCTTGCGGGCTGGCTGATTGAACCAGGTACGGATGTGTCGCTGCCAGTACTTATGGAAGTGACCATTTGAAATCATATGATTTCCCTTCACCATCTTGCTGGATTTATTAGGCTACGTGGGGCCTAAAAGGGACACAAAAAAAAAAAACAAAGACGCGTGATTAGAACAGGCCTATCAACCGATTTCCGAATGATGACAATGGTGGGATATGCTGTCAAATTCTCAAGAGGAAAACATGCAACGTCGCTTGGTATCACAATTGAAAAACAATGGCTTATTTAAAACACAAATCAAAGCACTTTAAAATGTTCTTCGAATGAGTGAATGAGATTAAAAATGCTTCATTTTCCCGACATCAAGGCATCCCTCCATGGCAGTCAACCTCACTCGGCATCCCACCTCGACAAGTTGTAAACATTCACTCGATCACAAAAACTTGAATATTTCGGTCAATTTCGCAACTTCCACAAAGCCATCGATTTATCACTAACAAGCGCTTGCGTTTTCCTCGAAAATTCAACTAATCGCACTATTTTGCACCGATTTAAACACCAAAAATTCAAAATTTTCTTCCGTACCTCGACAAAAATGTGTTCACAGAACAACCTTAAAGGCCGGAAAAGAGAGAGATCCAAAAAGTTTGCACTGACAGATGCAAGCGATTTCGAAGCGACGCGGCAGACAGCATGTTTGACAGCGGAGGTGTTTCCGGCGGCAAATGTCAAACGCAACGAAACGTCTGAATGAAACGGTAGAATTAGAAGCTGCGCTGCGATTTTCATCGATGGGTGCGATTGTACACTTAAAGATAAATTAAATCAAAAAAGCTTAAAAAGTATGCAGATTCCCGCTTTCCCGCATAAACGCGAACCATAAATTGACCTTACCTAAAATGGTTAAAAATTGTTTATAATCCCTGCTAAACTTTAACTGAAATGGTTATGGAACTTTACATGAACGTTTAATGATAAAGTTTCAACCTTATGTATTATGGTTTTTTGGAACTGGACCTTACAAATAATGGGTTGTTAAGAACCATTACCGTTCCAAATTCTTATTTTCTCCATACATTTTCGGAAAGAGAACTATATTAGAACCTTTTAACTTATGGTTTGAGAACTTTAATGGTAATGGTTATGGTAGTCAGTAAGGTCCACGAATGGTTTTGTAACATCGATCAACTTTATGTGGAATATATCGCGAATTGGTTGCCTGTAATTTACTGATTACCAATTCACGATATATTCCACGTAAAGTTGAGCGATAATACAAAACCATTAATGGACCTTACTGACTACCATAACCATTACCATTAATGTTCTCAAATCATAAGTAAAAACGTTCTTATATAGTTCTCTTTCTGAAAATGTATGGAGAAAACAAGAATTTGGAATGGTAATGGTTCTTAACAACCACTTATTTGTAAGGTCCAGTTCAAAAAAACCATAATACATAAGGTTGAAACTTTATCATTAAACGTTCGTGTAAAGTTCCATAACCATTTCAGTTAAAGTTTAGCAGGGATTATAAACAATTTTTAACCATTTTAGGTAAGGTCAATTTATGGTTCGCGTTTATGCGGGTTACCTTATTGAGTTCGAGCCATGATTACTTCGGCAGTAGTCATGCATGATTAAAATCGAAATAATCTTTCCAGTATTAAATTTTATTCTTTTTTAGTACTGATATATAATCAAAAAAATTTAAAATTCAATCAAAAATTATTGAAATAGAATCATATATGATTAAAATTTATTCAAAAAGAGATAACCTACAATCTAATCAACCATGATTAATCTGGGATTAATATAAGATGCTTATTTTTAAGAAAGAGAGGATTTATTTTTAATCATTCGATATGATTAAACTGAGTTTAATGTCAAATTGATTAAATTTCTAGCAAAATGGGAATAGTTCAATGTATCAGTGTACACTCAAAAATATTACAAAACGAATATAGATTAAATTTTATGCATTTTATGGTTTTTCAAAATTTATACATTGGTTCGATTAAAATTTTCGTCAAAATTATACTAAGTCCGAATAACGGAGTGGAATTCGATCAGTGTTTACTAAAACGATAGGAAAAATAACATCTGGATTCTCTTCGAAGCTTCGTTCTGGTGAAGAGCTTCGTTCCGGTGGATTTCGACTGCGCCTGTGATCTGTTGGGCAGCTAGGAAATTGTAAGATTTTTTTTAAATAATATTCATAAAAAATAAAATAATTAAAAACTTTCCTGAGACAATTTTAATTATTATTTGAAAACAACATTATTTATCATAAATAAAATAAAGAAGCGAAAATACGTTCTCTCGAATAAACCGTATCTATGCATTGTAAGTATATTTCGATTTTATACTATGGCACGCATAAACCATTTTTATACTAAGTTTGCATTCTCTCCCTTTATACCGACCTTTGCGTTGGTACGGAGAGTTGCGATTTAGCGTAACTTTTATACTATTTAGATTTCAATATTTTTTGAGTGTAGTAAAAATAACAGTACATGGTAAGAAAAAAGTACCAAACAGAAAGTTCACTTTTACCTACTTTTGACTAGTTTGTCTCCTTTTCTCCTTCTAATGTTGTCAAAAACGGAGGAGCAAAACCACCCAACAGGGGTAGTAAAGTATGGGAACCCAAGTTGAGTATAATCATATTTACCAACTGTTGGGTACAACTAACTTACTTTTGGTTAAAAAGCCAGTGGAAAATTCCATACGAATTACACAAAAGTAAATGACATTTATTTTGACCCGCTCTACCTACTTCTGGGTTCCTGCACTGTATAGTGCCGAGATAAGTGAAAAGAACTTAATTTTGGATACTTTTTTCTAACCGTGTACACTCTTGATAATCCGGTACACTCAAAAATATTACAAAACGAATATAGATTAAATTATATGCATTTTATGGTTTTTCAAAATTTATACATTGGTTCGATTAAAATTTTCGTCAAAATTATACTAAGTCCGAATAACGGAGTGGAATTCGATCAGTATTTACTAAAATGACAGGAATAAGAACATCTGGATTCCCTTCGGAGCTTCGTGCTGGTGAAGGGCTTTGTCCCAGCGGATTTCTACTGCGCCTGTAATCTGCTGGGCAGCATCGAAATTTTAAGTATTTTTTAAAATATTATTAATAAAAAATAAACTAATGAAAAAAGCTTTTTTTTTTATAATGCGTTTATTTTTCCAGGCTCATTTGCTATAGCTTTGCGGAGCCAATATTCATTGATAAGATTACAAAATTACTTAAAACTAACGTTAGTAAAGCGGGGGCCGATTACTCGCGGCTATCTCGAGGTTAGGGGTGACAAATTGTAACAAATGGATGGCAGGGTAGGGATTGTGAACACAAGGTTTGGAGAGCAATGTGCTCTTGATCTCGAACTAAGCGACACTCTGATGAAAAAGACAAACATGGGGGTACACCGATGGGCAGCTAACAACTTGAGAGAACACAAGATGACACTAACTACTAAATCCTCACATCTATCCGTTTTAAAAACACATAAATTAAATTCAAATAGTCGAGATCTCGGCTCGCCAAGACATCTCTAACGGGTATAGCGGGTTGTTTTCCTCGGGCCCTGAGGGATGTGGATAAATCAGATCTGGCAACACGGTGTAGGGTACACGACCAAACAACATGCTCGATATCGTGATAACCACTGCCACACGCACATAAATTGCTGTCTGAGAGCCCAATTCGACAGAAGTGCGAGTCTAACGAGCAGTGATTGGACATTAGACTGATGCAAATTTTGACATTTTCGCTCCACAGTGCTCAAACGGTTCCAAATCGGGTCCTGATTAGTCTCCCAAAATTTGAACTCATTTGATATGAAACTGACTTCGCACAAACCATTTGAAGTTTATATGGAAATTACTATGGGAAAACCAAATGTTTTGTTCATATCCATCTAACAATTTACCATATCGCTCTGCTTTAAAAAATGATAACTAAGCTCGTAGAAAATTTTCTCAGCTACAACTTTGTCCTGAACCACTTTTCAATATGATGTAAGCATCAAAAGTTATCAATAATTGAAGCCACTAATGTCTTACGATTATGCTCAATCAACTGTTCAGCAGGCAACATTGATGTTTCTGGCGCTTGGAATAGAGCACAAAAATCATGGCTACTATGTCACACTGCAAGATACAGTGTTGCTCACAAAACAGCTGCTTGATCATGCCATAAGATTATCAATCTCTTAAACAATTAATAACTATTTTATTTTACGTTTGGCTCAACAACTATATTCTGCTAAGTTGAAGCTGAGAAAATTTTCCATAAGTTTAGGTTTTGAATTTTTGAACAGTGCCACATAGAAAAAGGTAAGAAGACAATGAACAAAAAGTTTGGATTTCCCATAGTAATTTCCATATAAACTTCAAATGGTTTGTGCCAAGTCAGTTTCTTTTTAAATGAGTTCAAATTTTGGGAGACTAATCAGGACCCGATTTGAAACCGTTTGAGCACTGTGGAGCGAAAATGTCAAAATTTGCATCAGTCTATTGGACATAAGCCTTGATATAACGCGTATAAAGTCACGGCTCATGTCCAACCCTTTGAACCATGGTTTGTTCGACACCTGAGGGAGAATAGAATGTAACCATCTTCCCAATTCATCATCATTCCATTTTTGTTGCCAACTGATGAGGACTTGCTGCCGAGCAATGGAGAAAAATTCGTTGAAGGCGATTTGTCGCTCAAAAATATCGCCTTCCATAGCGCCCACCTTAGCCAACGAGTCCGCTTTCTCATTACCCGGAATTGAGCAATGAGATGGGACCCAAGCTAAGATGATAGTATAGGAGCAGTTAGATAAAGCACTCAGTTTAGATCGTATTTCAGGTAGGAAATACGAGGAGTGCTTCATCGGCCTCATTGAACGAATAGCTTCCAATGAGCTAAGACTATCCGTAAAAATGAAATAATGGTCAGAAGGTAGTGAGGCAATTCGCTCTACTGCGTAAAATATAGCTGCGAGTTCCGCAACGTATACTGAGCATGGTTTCTGCAGTTTAAAAGAGGCGCTATTAAATTGATTAAATACACCAAATCCAGTGGAAGCATTTATGGTTGACCCATCTGTGAAAAATCTTTTATCGTTACTTACATGGTGGTACTTGATTGCAAAAATTGAGGGAACAACCATCGACCGATGGTGATCTGGTATTCCATGGATTTCTTGCATCATGGTCAGGTCAAAATTTACAGCGGAACTACACAGCAAAAAAATAATTTTGATATCACGTCAAAGTGGATGCACTACAATCATGTCGAAAGTATGGTGTAATATTACTTGCTAAAAAGGACAAAATTATCATTAATACAATGCATAAACTGACATTACGCTGCTTTTACTGCATTTGTTTATTTATGTGGTCATAAAAATTACATGAAATTTTCGACATGATTGTAGTGCATCCACTTTGATGTGATATCAAAATTATTTTTTTGCTGTGTATAGAAGGCTTGAAAGCAATCACGATTGGAGATTAATGAAGAAGGGCCAACCTCCAGCGTCATGTACTCATAGTACAAACTCATGAATCTTGTTTGAGGATTTCGGTCGAGCAGCTTCTCAAAGTTTTCTATTATCAATGGGTTCATTACTTCACAACGGATAAGAAACCGGAAGGACAGTTCCGCGAAACGATCTGTCA